ACACACACACACAAAAACAAAACAACAACAAATAAATAGCGGATGAAATGAACGCCGTTTCTTCATAGATTGGCATGTGTCATTATAATGCAATATTTGTTACAGCTATGGGTATAGCTCTCGAGTTCGAACATCGGTTCAGCGGTACCAGTTTTTAGTGTTGGTATACGTGCAGTCTAGTTCAGCATGACCCTAGGTCATATTATGTTCACGGCTAAACGGTGCTTGGGTCAAGGACATGGAACAATGAGAACTGGTTAGATACATTAAAAGAATAGCGGACCGGAAAGGAGGGGGGGGGGGGTGAAAATAGACGTGAGAGAAAAGTCAAGACGAGGCTTTGGAACAGTAGGACAGAATTTTAAGACGAGACGAACACAGATGTACATAATATAGTTGTCAAATACAAACTTGCATTAAAATTCATACCTTCATATTATTATCAATTTTATTATAATAAATCATTAGTATTGTCATAGCTATAGTTGCACACATATGTTCGCAAAAATAGACTGACGCGCACATACACGCAAGGACAAACAAACAAACAAACAAATTAAAAAACACACACACATACACACAAATTATCACAAATATGCACGTACACATACCTGGTATCGTAAAAAAAAAGATATAAATAACCAGACAGCGAGCTGTAGGTCCAAAGAATTCACGGTATTTCGTATCCTAAACTTACTACGGTCTCTTATTCCCATTCGTTCCCACGGAAAACCACGCTACCCTTCTACCACTCGACCTTAAGTACTCTTTTTGAGCTCCTTGTCTTTTCTATTGTGTATCTCTTCCTCCTTCCAAAGGACAACGATTAGTCGATACTTCAGAACGGCGAACCCCTCGCCGCTTGCCTTAAGATTTATGGGACACCCAGGGGAACCCAATCAAGCGTAAAACTGTCCTCTGCTCGTCAGTTTGTCGGTTTGCGTTACAGAACACGGTACCTCGCCGCCTAGAGGGGGACTGATGGCAGGAAGACACCACAGTAGTTGTAGAACTGTGACTGACTATCCTCTGGGTGTATTTATATCCCCATTTAAAAATCACGCATAAATTAGGACGGTAAAGGCGCTTTTCATAGAATGTGTTTTACCCAATCGAACGACGTGCATTTAAAAGCAGGGGAGTATTCACATACACACACATGCATACGCGCACGCTCGCACACAAACACACAAACACACAAACACACATGTACATGCCCCCCCCCCCATGTATAGAGGACATGCGGTGTGATATCATAGCACTGATCAAAGATTCAAAACACATGTGTAAATTAACACACTTTGGGATCTTAGAAAGAGAAAAATATTTGAAATAAAATTATAGAGAACATTAATTACTTCCTTTTAACAGCAACCCTCACCTTCCACGGGGCGGGACAATAATAACCAAACAAGTAGCATTCCAACAAAACCCAGCCAGTGTAACACGAGTAACATGTACTGTCTCCGATGTCTCTTCTTGTCTTCTCCTTTTCATTTCTCTGACTACAGGGGTAAAGGTTTCCGTCTTTCAGCATAAACAAATACTGTTTTAAAAGGGCGTCTTACTATAAATACAAAACCAACAACCCCACCCCCCCCCCCCGAAATAAAGCAAACAAAAAAACCCCATCCCCTTTTTATAGTACAAGTATGCCTATTCATATTTCTAGCACGTTCTTGTAAAGCAACGGAGAGTCAAAAGGTATTAAGTTTGATGAACGCATCCTGAATACTAACCGACGCGTTTTTGCACTGACTCAAGGTCACACACCGCGGCTCTGAGGGTTTCGGAGGAGGAGGAGGAGGCAGAGCGGGTGGGGTGAGGTGGGGGTGGGGCAGACCGAAGGACTAGACCTGGCTTTAATCACTGCCACGTTTAATTTATAGCCGTGTGAGGCTTTGTTAGGTCCTGTTTTAAGATGACTATCTGATGTCTTAGTAGCTGCCTTCGTTCCAAAAGCCAGAGGCGATTTGGTTCCCCACCCACCCAACCATCAAGAGCACCCCGGCCGCCCCCCACCCGCAAAAACAACACCCCCCCCCCGCCCTACAGACTCAGGTATATCTTCTTCGGAAGTATTTTACTTTACGGTTGGGGGCGAAAGAGAGGAAAAAAGAACGTCCTGTACTTTTAAACTTTATTAGTGCCGACCACACACGCACATGCGCATACACACACACACACACACACACACACACACACACACACACACACACACACACACACACACAAACATACATACACACATACACACACCCACAAACATGCTTACATACACACACATACACACGAGCACACATACACACGAGCACACATAACCCACACACACACACGCACACATATCACACACAAACACGCACACACATACACACAACCAGAGGCTGCAGACAGAGGCCAGAGCGAGAGAGAGGGAGAGAGAGAGATAGAGAGAGAGAGAGAGAGAGAGAGAGAGAGAGAGAGAGAGAGAGAGAGAGAGAGAGAGCAAAAGGTACCCATAATTTATTCCCCACACCAAATTACCAGGAAATATGCTACCAGGGAAGTGAAACGAGAAAGAAAAGGGCTGGGTATAAGAGCATCATTTTCCCCACGAATGGAAGACAGGGGGGTACAAAAAACGAGTCGGGTATTAAATAGATTAGAGGTCATTATTCGTGACCGAAAAAGTGGGTATTATGAGGGTGTGGTGACGTTTAAATGGTCGACTACTTCTCTAAAACCATCTGTGTTTGGCTTTGCTTGCTTGGGGAAACTAATAGCTACCTAGCTTCATTTTTTCGTCTTCTCCATCTTCTTCTTCTTCTTCTTCTTCTTCTTCTTCTTCTTCTTCTTCTTCTTCTTCTTCTTCTTCTTCTTGCTGTGACTCTACTATCCTTACTCGACAACAAAGGATAGACAAATTGTTTACTTCCTTTTCTTTGAAATGAAACTTAAATACATGTAGGTGTTTTTATGCCCTCATCGACGCAGTTTAGATAATTAAGGAGCCGGGTTCTGATCCTGCCTGTCAGAGCCAACCCAGGCAGACAGGGAAACCACAAGTAAAAGTTCAAGACACTCGATAAACATTTCTCCCCACTCTGGAATCGAACTCGGGTCTCTTACGCGCGACAGCGAAGTGCTTTACCTATATACCACAGACGCCGGGCTCCTTTGCTCTGCTCACTTTGTTTTTCAGCATTACTTATCATTATATACGTACCTTTCTAGCCGTTTACGTAAGTAAAGTTAAACAAACAGCTAATATTCTACTTTCCCCCTCCCCACATCCCTTTTTTTGGTTCTCCTTTCCATCCACACTCACACACTCGTGCCAGCTGCTCAGTTTTCGGAGAAAATGTGTATGTGGGAGGGTGGGGAGTATAATTACCTGTGAGGGGTTGGGGAGGGGGGGGGGCAAGTGGTGCATATGAGGTGGGGGAGGGCTGAGGGGGTGGTTACCCAAGACAAAAATTGACCTCGAGACGGAACAGAGGCCAGGGACCAGTGTGCGGCGCCAGGTGCAACCTGACAATTTTCAGACATGGTGGTAGAAAGAATACCGGGTGGAGGAAGTACTACTACTACACGTATAAAGGTGTTTGGCAGCCTGAACTGAATATCCTTTAGCTGGGATGCTTTTCGCAGCTTGCGAGTAGAGATTGGATGAGACGCTGTAATGTGACTTGGAAGTGTTTCGTGTTTGCAGCTATTTGCGTTCGCCTGTTTTTTTGTTTTTGTATTTTTTGTCGGTGTGGATGGTCTTATTATGTGTTTGTGCGTGTGTGCGCGTGTGAGGGTGTGTGCCTGTGTGTGTGTGTGTGTGTGTGTGTGTGTGTGTGT